GTCGGCTCCCTCGCACCTGTCTTTGCTGCATTTGGCTGCGGATGAGTATCCGGGGCAGCACCCCCTCTCAGAATTGATGTTGCATTCAGATCTGCTGTCACATACTTGACAAACCTCTCACAGAAGATTCGGGCAAAGTTCTGACTGACTGACTGCTTCTCCTCCTCAACCCAGCTGTCCAGAGTCTTTGCCAATCTGATGAGAGCCTTCTGCTGCAGGTTCTGTTGCTGCTGAGCCTCCTCAAACTGCTTCTGCAGTCGAGAGGTGGCCGTGGGGATGCTGTCGCTGGCTCCTTTGAGGACTGGGGGAGGCATTGTGACAGTCTTCCTCTGCCTCTTGCCAGCCTTTCCAGCGACAAAATTGGCCGGTGACTCCGGCTCCAGTGGCCTGGTGTAGGCCGTTTCGATGTCCTTGGGCGGACGGGAGGGCGTTGAGGGCTCCATGACCACTCAACCTGTGCAGTACACACACGTAGAGAGATCGCAGAGGGCGTGCGATGATATTGAACGGGTTGGAGGGTTAAAAATTATACGAAAAACAGTTGGAAAAGTGGAAAATTCAAATGTACCCCTACGTTCATGGGTAGTTGTAAGGATGAGGAGGATGGTATATTTATAGGTGGGCTTGATTATCTCGCTTGAACCGCGAACTCGTAGAATACTATACAAATACTGAACTACCAGAGGTACTCGGCACACTAAGAATATTGTATGAGGACAGTGGTAACTCTGGTATCTTATTGTCAAAAGATAAAAGACGAATCGCTGGCTCCTGGAATAGAGAGCCAGCATCTAGCTATTCTATATAGACAACGGGCAGCCATCCTCCCCTCACTCTATGAGCGAGGGTAGCCGAAGCAACTCCGCAGTGGCGCTGCATTGATCTGCCAGAAGGAATCTACTGACCCCGTATAGAAACAGGATTATCATATCCCATCAATCGGATCCTCTTCTATTGCATCCGAATGATGTCATAGGGTGGTTGGAAACCGGTTCGGACACCTGCGTGACGTTATGGGATAGATGGGATTATCCGAGGGGAAGCGATGGGCCGTGTGGAGCCGTCACGGGGCCTTGGCACAACCAAGGGTGTGACAGTCAGTAGTAGCCAATGGATAAAGAATAAAGGCATTGACAATAACAATGGTCAATAATTCAATATAGAATTATCAATCAAGTGTAATTAATGAGCATATGAGTTTCATAGAAAGCTCTATACTGATTTGCTGGATCAATCCCATTCATATTATACTTGTAATCATCAATGATGATAGAAATCTCCATTGCTTTTTATCAATTGTCTTCAAATATTTTCTGAATTTGAAATTCATTAATAGAGTTCAATTCTGAATGGTTTCTGACATATTCAACAAAGCTGTTTGACATATGAATGTAGAC